TCTGAGTTCCTTCAAATTCAAGCTTTCCGTGGCCTTTGCAACTGCTGTGTGAGGAAAAAAAGCTGTATTAATTCCCAGCACTCTGGAGGGTGAGGCAGATGGAGTACAGAAGATTAATTGTTTTCACATTAGCACTTTTCTTTGGAAATATGGTAAGATTACTGTGTCGGGGAGCAAAGATCAGATCCATTTCCATCACTATGAAAAAAATAGGATCTACCTTGAATGTAAATAAGTAACAGTCAGTTCTGTGAACAATTATATGTTCTTTTGATGACCATAAAAATACAAAATAAATCAGTTGTTACTGAGACCAGTTAAGTAAGTATTTCCTAGTGTCTGTAGGCACACAGAATTCAATCCTTACTCTTTTGAAGTTGTTGGAAGACAAGGTAGTACAGATTTGCTAAATCATAGTAATGTATTTTCAGGTTCTTTGTCTTGACACGCAGAACTGCTGGGGAGGGTGTTTTGTAGAGGGATGAAGGCAAGTGATGCAAGTGCTTTATTTAAGCACTTAAAACTGTTGCTTGTTCATTTCTCTAAGCATTTGCTTTTGAAATTATGTTAGTATTCTGTTCTGGAGTTCAAAGCTCAGCTTCTTCCTTTTTCCTATAATGAAATGGTGTTTTGTGCATGCAGTGTAAGTTGGGGTTTTTTTTGTATCCTTTAACATATCAGTGCTATAATATTTCAAACTGCTTTTGTCAGAAACTGGAAAATGGTTTTTCCAGGTGCTAGTCACATTTTCTGGGCTTGTCTTTCAGTTGTCATCTAATTGGTTTAGTGCATGACTAAAGGATTTTTTTTTTAATTCCACCTAACATTACAGCATTGTAAAACATTTTAATGTCTCTTATACCTGTCAGCATGAGGAAATCAAATGCTTAAGTATGCAGTGCAGTGCAGAGAGAGCAGAACAAATGTTTACTGGTTACAGAACTACTGCTTTTAAACTTTCTTCACATCTGCAGATCGCCACATGAATATTTTTGACGGTGTTATTTTTCACTTTATACACATCAGAATAGCAAAGTAAATTGTCTCGGTATAAAAATGGTTGCAGGGGTTGCATAATCTATATGTTTAGAATGTGTGTATTTATGTATATAGTGTATTCTCTGTATAAAGAGAGACTAAGAGAGAGAATATTAACTGTGATGAAGTCATGAACCCAGGCGCCCGCTATAGGCATCTGCAAACACTGGTTACCCTGGCAACAAGTGGAAAGAGGTTGGAGAGGAAAGCTGGAGTAGATTGTTGCATTGAATTGTTTTCAGCTTGTTTCTTCATCACTAAAGCAGGGAAATGTTGAAAGGTACGATGTCCCTCTTTCTATGTGTATACTATTTTATATGTATTTAGACAGTTGTTGGGAATGGGAAGGTTAAAAATACCCCATACTTGTCATTCAGCTCAATTGGAGACAGACTTTTCAATATAAATAATAATATGCATTGTAAATCTGTGGGGTTTTTTTCTCTGTGCTTGATTTTTGTGTGGTGTGTTGTGAGAGTACCCATCCCATCTTCAGCCTTGGAGACAAGTGACTTGCATATTATGTCTTCAGAAACTGATTTTATTTTAAACTGGGTTTGTAGAGCTTATGTTTGAAAACCTGCCAGGACTGTGCAAATACTGGGTATTGTCAAAAGATTTATTAACTGATACTAAATCTGAGCTTCTGAACACCTTCAGAATGTGCTGTGCTTATATGCTTGTGCTCTTGCGCTTGTGCTCTTGCACTTTTGCAGAATATTGTGGCTCATGAGTTAGTGGAGTCTTTATCTCCCTGGGGAAAGTTTTTATTAGAAAAACTAGGACATTATGTTCAGGGCTCTAACAGCATCTTCCACAAGACAAATATCAAGATAATCTCTTCAGAAATCTGTTTTAGACAAATAATGGGAGATCCTACTGTGTCTTTCTTCTTGATTACCTTTCTCTCTTTGACCCTTTTCTTCTGTAATGAAAAAAGATATAATAAAATATCTGTGCACTGTATTAAAGTATAAATAGTATAAATTATGAGATATACAGCAGAAACAACCAATTCTTGTAATTTTCAAGAATAAAGAAAAATATTTTGTTCATTAACTTTAACTTGGGAATAATGCCACTCATAAAAACTGCACAGTCCTAAAAGAATAAAGTGTATGACCCAGTCAGGGGTAGAAGCCAGTCACTGTGTATTTAACACCTCTGAGATCAAGGGATTGATTAACAGACAGTGATTCCTGATTTCTCGTATACTGAAAGACACAGCCTAATAGAATATTAACAAGTGTTGTTTCCAGAAGTGCAGCAATAGAAATACACAGTGTGCCAGACTCCTGCCCTTTCGTTTTCAGCCATTTCTACATTAAAAAGGGCTGACATAATTTTATTCAAATTAAATCTAGTTTTACTGAACTATAAAACTGGATATTCAAAACTTAACAAAACCAAGTATGTTATGGAAGATAGAGATGCATATGAGTATGCTGATTGCTCCTAAAAGAACAGAGACTGATACCAGTCTTATAGCATCTTCCTAGAAATAGGCTGCCCAAAACAGCTTTTGTCAGTGGGGCATAACTTAGTTAAAGCACAGCAAATCACCTTAAGCCATGGTGTATCTTATAATTAAACAGATTGTCAGAGCTCTTACTCTGGATGGTGAACTAGTAAGTAATTTAGTACCTGAGTGTGTACAAAACCATTCTCAGCAGTATAGCAGAGGCTGTAGGGTTTGCCGTTTATTTGTATAGTATGGTATCTGCTAAATTAAGTACTGTTTTGTATTCTTGGTTGTTAAGTGGATAAGAAAGATTCTGTTAGTACTTACCCTAGATACTAAAAACTGTGATTCTGGAGCATTGGAGTAAGTTAAGGAGTTGACTTCTTAGCTGTCTTGCAGGGTGATCTTCTGAAGTCATCATTTTTAGCTTGCTTTTCTTCAAGTGTTGATGTACATGTCTCTTCCTGTCTTTTGATCAAGTGTCTTCTAGCCATTTCAATGTGTGGTTCTTCTGGGTTTAGGCTACAGCTTATCTTCAGATGCTTGCAGTGTAATGGATATGTGTATATTGGCTTCGGGTCATGTTAGGGCTGATCCTTCTTCGTACAGTCTCTTGTACTTTGTCAGCATGTGGTTAAATCGTACATGTATCTGGTATAAACAGCAGGCAAATACACAAAATGATCCTTCAGCCATCCTCTGCTTCGTAAACAAGGAAATAGTGAATTACGATTTTCCTAGTTGAGATTCCTGTAGTTAAGTACTTCCTCCTGTGTTATTTTTAGGCTCATTTGGTCTATTAATACAATACGTGTATAGATGCAACTAATACTTTTCTACTTCCAATGCTGTGTTTTGAAGTATCCACAGAGAAATGTGCAAAAGAGTCCTGAGAATGAGAACTACATTCTTCTGCATTAGATGTTTCCATTTTGTGCTTGATAGTGAGTGAACATCACAGAACAGAAGCTGCCTGTGATTTGTGCTGTAGTGTGTGACCTTTCCTTTTTGGGAACTGTTGGAGAATTCTCTACAAGCAAACTCATTTATCCTAAGGCTTATATTGGCTATCAGCTACAAGTTTAGATGATGGGTTCTTTTCTTTACCAATGAAAATTAGCAGATGAAAGTATTTGCAGCCTGCTCTGGTAAGCCTTTTTTTGTACAAATTATTCAAGAACCCTAGAAAATCTAATCCTTTAAAAAAGTTGCATCTTTCAAACTGCATTGATCTGACTTTTACCAGGCTGTTAAGCTGCAATGTTGTCTTAAGCATTTTCTGCAAGTGAAACTCTTCTACAGGACAATTTTACTGTGGTAAATTCCAAGTTCTTATCTACACTGGTGAAGATGGTGAAGCGTTTTCAACACCTGAGGGGGTAGGAGTACTTTAGCAATGAGGAAAAGTTGAAATACATATTCCTTTTTAAGACCTCATGCTGTCAAAATCCTAAATTAATGTAGAGTGATGATGTAATGAACATATAAAGAATTTTAGACCAAGTTAGACTGTGAATATACATTTTACCTGCTCATCCATGATAGCTGCCTGTGCATACCTTAGGCTGTGGGAATACAAGGTGATTCAAATTAGACTGGACAGGCCTTTGTTTTTGAAGGATATCTTCAGTTTTATTGAAGAGTAAGAGCTTGTTTGGGTGTCCATAGCCTTGAGTGATTTGCTGCTGATTCAGTCTGCCCTTCCCAGAAAGGACACCAGTAGCTCTCAGCAGTTCAGTGAATTTACTCCTGTTCTGTACAGTATGCATCTCAGTGTGTAAGAAAACTGGTTTAACAATGCATTAATTGAAAAGCAGATACAGCTGGCGTGTAATAAAGAGATTCTACGCACACATGCATGGATTCTGAGTTACAAGCATCCCAAGTTCTGGAATTGCAGAAGGTGTGAATTTTAGACTAACGTATTTATAGAGATATAGTGGACTTACCAGTGAGAAGTTGGAATTTAGTATAACTTGATATCGGTTTCATAAAAACCAGATTTGCTTCTGTTACTGGATGTAATCAGTTTTACTTACCAGTAAGCTGCACTTCAGTGTAGCATGTATGTGTGGTTGCAGATCAGAGGGACCATTGTGCACAGCTGACTCGTCATTAAGGGTGATGGATTTTGCTCTGCACATGCACCAGGTGTTTCAACTTTCTTATCTCCAAAGGGGAACAGTCAGTTGCATGTGGTTTTGTTGCAGATGTGCAGAGATAACAAAGGGTCATACACAGGAATTTTTTCTTCCGCTTTTTAAATGACATTTACTAGCATTTACTTTTTTTAAGAGTTTGAATTGATGACACAAAGTATGACAAAGTTGGTAATGTCATCTTAGCTTGCCAGTACTTAATTTCACTCTGTCATGTTACAGAAATAGAGCAAGGGTTAAAAAACAAATCCTACCAGTTGGTTAGATGGCAGAAGGATTAAGGCTTGGGAGAGAGATCAGGATATGTCTTAATATCTGTGAATTGTATTTCATTACTGAAGAGGAAGAAGAGCTTGAAGTGCCTTTGGAGGGGCTTGGATTTCAGCAGCAGGAGTCACGGCTTTGTCAGCAGATGAAAATGGCAACTGTTGCACCCTCGCCAGAGCCTGTCTGCTGGCAAGTGGAATCAGTGACCAGCACAAATTTGGGACATGTTTGTACCCAAGGTAGGAGCTTTCTGCTCTTCAAAGGATTCTGAAAATGGGTGGTTAGATGCAGATCTAGGGATTGATTGTCTGGATAGCTGTGATTCATATTCCTCAGTTTCTCCACCTGCCCTTCAGTCAAGTATTCCAGAGTTTAGAGGCTTCCCTGACAATGTCCCAGCTTCCTGGGAAAGTGCCTTCTCGTCCCTTAACAGTTATTGTTTTTGATGCATGACTCACATGCTAAATACCATGGCATTAGAGCCAAATGAAAAAGCTCACATTACCAGGCTATCATGCTATGTAGTTTGTGCATCCTTTAAAAGGAGAATTTTTCTTTTAATTGGAGTCTTCTGTGGGGGCAATATGACAACGCTCCAGATGACACTGTTTGAATACTGAGCTGAAGGAAATTATTTTTTGTTTCCTCCTTATGTTTACTCAGTTTGAGTAAACATAAACCCAGCATTTCTGCAGTAAATGCTTTGTACCCCTCCTCTGCCTGCTTCCCAAGAGAAATAGGAGCTGGTGTTTTAATTGAGAAAGTGTAAAACTTGGTATTTCAGGCAGGCATAATCTAGATATTCATGTTTGGGATATCTCGTTTTTCTTTATTTGTTGAAAGGGAGATTATCCTGTGTCTGATTACTGCAGCATATTTGGTACTCTACTCTGAAATGATTGGCTGCCCATGGAGATGGGTCACTGACCTTGATGGAAAGCCGTGCCTCATCTGTTGTAGAAGCTCGTACGTTGTTGTGCACACTTGAAAAACACACAAATTCAATTTTACATCCCTTGGTAGTTAGTTCAACTGCTGGTGTTTTTTCAGGATAGCATCAAGAAGCTGGCATTTTATTTTGTTGTGTTTAAGTGTATGTGAATACCTGTTGTTATTATTATCAGTCTGAGATAGGCTGGTGTTTTCATTCACATGACTTCATATGAAGTGGCATTATTAGTAAGAAATTGAGAAATCTCTTTTAACAAATTCTCAGTTTTAATGTGAAAGTTGGTTATAGTTGTGTATATATTATTTTGTAATGTGATAGTGGCTAGAGAAGGGCTGGATCCCTCTTTACTTCATGAGATGAGCCCTGTCTGAGCAAGCTTACATTGGAAAGACCACAAACTGAGACACTTGAGAAGTATATGGAAGTGATACTAACTAATGCGGGAGACACTGGCATGAGCACATCAAGGAGAATTTTATGGCAGGATTTGAAGAGAGTAATGAGGAAGTTTTAATGGGTGTTACCATATATTTTTATTAAATTGTTGTGGAGTTGCTATCACAATAATTAAAGAAGCAACGCTATGGTGGAAGAAATTAAGATTCATGAGTAAACCTAAGTAGCTTTATTTGTTTCATTACAGAATGGAGAGGCAGTTAGAGAATGCAAAGATAAGATGATTGCATCTGAAACAAGAAGTGGGAAAATGATGTTAGCAGTAGCCTTCTAAATACATGTGGATGGGTCAGTGCCACACTGCCACTTGTCATGCTTGATCAGATTGAGTTTCTGCTGTCCAGTAAGATTCTTTTTTTAGAATTATAGCTGGTTTCCAGTTGTCATTGTAGAATTTTGAGGCACTTTGTTCTTCTGTTTCTGAGTCTTAATTAACACAATGCTTGAAGAAAGACCTTTTGAGCCAGCCATATGCCTAACAATGAGCTGTTCCCTCTTGTTTGTGAAATCCTAGATAGCTTCCTAACATGTTTTTCCTTACTATTTTCTGTTTAGCCTCAAGTTCCAAACCTGAACTCAGCTCCAGTTCACAGACTTTGGGAAGTCAGCAGAACAAGACAGATGGCACCCGAGTAAAAACTCGCATTCTGCCCAACATGCCAAAGCTTTTCATACCTTCATCTGTCACCAAGTTTCCACCTGAGATCACTGTCACTCCACCCACTCCCACCCTCCTTTCTCCAAAGGGCAGCATTTCAGAAGAGACCAAGCAAAAATTAAAGGTAATAAAAGGGAAACAGTAATTTTTTAGATTGTTTTTATCTTAATTCTCCCCTTAATAAAATACTTGTATGAGAGGAGCAACAGTTCCTGACCCGGTTCATAACCACAGATAGTATGAGCAGTGGAAGGTGATGCTAGCTGTTACCAGCAGGAGCCAGTTTTTAAAGACTGGTGAAATACTGGCCATGGGTGAAATCATAGCTGTCCTAGTCCCTTATCCCTGTTCTGAGGGAATTAGAAGGAACTACAAAAATGGGTGAGTGAGCTAGTGCAGCCATTGCAATTCTTAGGCTAGTAGAAGCTACCAGAATATTGACTGTGGGGAAGCCTACTGGTAAATGTTATGCTGTTTCACATTAGGATGCCATATCTCTTATTAGAAGTCAGAGAGCTACTGAATGTGAAGGTATAGCAACCAGTGGGCTTTTATCCCTGTGATCACGGGTTTATCCTGATTGTTTAGCAATATATTCTCTCTCTCTCTTTTTGGGATCAGTCTGCTATTTTGTCTGCTCAGTCTGCAGCGAATGTAAAGAAGGAGAGCCTTTGTCAGCCAGCTTTGGAAATCTTAGAGACCTCAAGCCAGGAGTCCTCACTGGAAAGTGATACTGATGAAGATGATGACTACATGGACATATGAATGAATTCTGGCCATCATCAACATCAGCCATATAATCATTCTTGTTGCCAGCATCTCTGGCAGTTGCAACATCTTCGCTGGCATTACTCTCCATTCAATTAGCATCACTGTGTTCTTCACTTTCATTACCTTTTTTATCACTACTACCACTTGTATTGCCTTCAAAACCTTCGCCATTCTCCTCATCATGGTGCTTGATGGAAAGAACAATTGTTTACCAGGCAATTAATTCATTTGGACCACGCTCTCATCTCTACCTTCAGTAACACAAAGATGTTTTGTGCTGCAATTCACATCTCTCTGGTGTTCCTGCTTCTTCAAACCAGAGCCTTGGAAGTCACTCCGTCTGTTCACATTTTCCCGACTAGTTAAGTTTTTCTCACAGTAATTCAGCAACCTGTTGTCTGTCTAGCCATGCCATGATTAGTCCAACAGCTCTCTTTAAGGTGAATGGAGGAGGAAAAATTTGCTGAGCTGGTGGAGGTTTTAATTGCATCAAGAAAGTCTATGGCTTTGTTGTGAGGCCAAAAAGATGAGCTGAAAGTCTGTCAGCTCCTTGGCACTGCTGGGTGCTTTGTTGGAATTTGACTGTAACAATAGGCAAAGAACCATCTTTTCCAGGCAGACAGAGAGGTTGGCTTCCTGTTTGTACTTGTTTCACACCAATGTATGAGGTCCAGCAAAAATCATCTACCTGAGTGTTGGGTTAAAGAACTGATCTTTCCAGAATTGTCTTACAGTCCTTTCTCTTCTAATGCCTTGGACAAGCATTTTGAATTGGGAGTATATGATATTTTTATGGAGGTATTGAAAAAACTTGAAAGCTTCCAATACCATTTCGATAATGTCTGTTTTTTACAGAATGACATGAAAAGGTGTTTTTTATCTATCTGCAGAGGGACTGCTCACAGTTATTTATATGAGAAAATAATGGTAACAAAGATCCTTGGTTTTTTTTTCTACTGAATGTTAACTTTGTAAAATAATGACTACAAACCATGCAAAAAAAAAACAAAAGTCACACACTATATATACACAGGCGTGCGCCCACACACATATATATATGTGTATGTACATATATGTATGTATATGAAAAAAGAAAATGCATACAGCTTGCAATGTCGGATTTCTTTGTGTTTGGGGGAGGTGGTTTTCTGTAAAATGCAGAGCTTTGTATAAACTTTTGGGTTTTTTCTAATAAAGTTGAAATATACTGTTGTCTCTGTTACTCTGAGAGGGCAAGGTACCATGGTGCTGGAAAAAGTACTACTCCTCCCTTCCTTTTGTTTCTTGGATAAGAAAGTAGTGGAGGAAGGAGGTGGGGGGAGTGGAAGCCCCGTTTTCTGAAGGCTGCCAGAGTTCTTCAGATTGGTTTGGTCTTGTGTGACCCAGAACCCGGGTCAGCCAGTGCTGCCAAGATTGCCTGCCGTGGGTTCACTTCCCCAGTGAGACATGGTCTGAGTTCTTTTTCACCTATCTGAGTGTCTTTGAATGCTAATGAACAATATAAGGGTGAAGACAACGCGTGATGAATGGGATCGCATAAAGTATTTGGCTGTACAAATTAGCATTTAATCTACTATTACAGTGATCACTCTCATTCACTGTAAGAATGATAAATGGACCATGGATAAAAAGAAGCAGCATCATGCTTTGTATTGCAAGTTTATTCTCATAGTCTGGGTTGTTTGTTCTGAACAAAATGTAATTTATAAGCAAGTGAGCGTGCCATATATCCACTTCGGGTGTATTAGCAACTGTTCCTGTAACCTGTGATAGGTGAGCTGAATGCAACTGATGTGGAAAAGATCAGGTAACTGAATAGTAAAAGGAAGTGAGTATTTGCAATAGTCATACATTTTCAGTGTTACTCTTTAATTTGATGTAAGTTATTATAAATGCAGTGTATAGCATACTGTATATTCATTGACTGGTAATAGGCTAAGGTAGCTGTAGATAATCATCTTTATTTTTTTAGAAGATAGCACAGGAAAAAAGTGGTTGGTTTCTTACTGAGAAATGGAACACAGCTCAGAGGATGTAGTTCTCAATAGGGCTTTTTCACCCAAGTAGAACAGACTACATAAGCTTTTTGGCTAATGTATATTCTTAAATGTATGGCTAACTTTAACATCATATTTAAATTCTCAGGTCTCTACTGCTAGCATGGTCTGATGTATGGAGACAAAGCATTTGATTTTCTTACTTGAGGTTTGTTGTTTTTTTTATCCAGAACTTGCTAAAATGTCTGATCTTGAGCTTTCTTTTGACTTCTGGTCCTGCTTTTTGAGAAGGATTTAATTTTTTGCTGGTTAAGGAGCAAAAACAGTACGTGAAACTGTTCCTGTCAATAAAGAAAGCTAAGCTTTGCTGATCTGTCCTAAACTCATTTTAATTTTCAAACTATGCAACTTGTTATATCCTATATTCAAAACTCTTTACTTTTTTCCCTTTTTTAATCTATGATCTTTTATTCCCATTATGCTCTTGGGTAGCTCAAGGTTTTTTATTCAAGCTCAGGAAGTTACTGAGACCAAATTAAACAGGCCACCTCCTTCAAATCCTGCCCTTCTACTAATGACTAAATAGTGTGTTGCTCAGCTGTGGCCATCTTCCACAATGACTAAAGGAGCTATTCTTTGTCTAATACATTCTTTTGTGAAACCATCTCTCCTAAGTACAGTTTATGTAGTTCTTCAGTTCAAGAAGTGAAGATGCCGAGTGAAGATGCTGAGGTCACTGGATGCGTCGACATACAATGTTTGTCTGAGGCACCATCCCTAACGGTACTTGGAGCAAGAACTTCAAATCCTTACAAACAGAAGTGTGCATTAATATGTCATCTTCTGAAGCCTGGCAATATAATTTTGTGTAATTTTCAAGGGAAACAAAGGTGTTATGGTAAAACTGCAGTTAGCTATGCGTTTACTTGAAGGAATTTCCTTGATTTCAGTCTAATCCTAATTGTAATACTTGAAATCCAAGTATAGGCAAGGTCCAACTTCACCATATCAAATGAAATGTAACGTCTGTCTTCAGGATTTACAGGGTAACCATTGCTTTTGAAATCTCAGTGTTCCCAGGTTTCTTGCTCATGTGCCAGACAAATAAATGGCAGCTGCTGAAGTGTATTGCTTTTGTATTTCTTCAGTTTGATTTGGTTTTTCTCTGTGAAGCTACAGGGACAGGAACATAAGGTCTGTGACTGACTGGGGTGAGAAGGAGGCTTTTACTTCCCCCCCCACACCGCCATTTCCCTCTCTTTTTTCCCTCCTGTAATTGACTAAAAAGCCAATCCTTTTTGGCTGCTGAAAAGCCAAACTGTTAGAACTTCCAGGCAAATAGCAAAAAAGGTTTTGTTCCAGAGAAAATGGAAAACGAAATTATTTTGAATTGGATGCTAGTAATTTGTGGATAGGTGATAGACTTTCTGTGCTGTTACTGGGCATTGGTTTTACACATGTGAGATATCTTTCACTGATCACCATTGTTAACATATGTGGTACTGGGATTAGGCAGTGTTTAATGCAGTTGCATTTCCTGGCACAAGGTTTATGTAATTTATGTATAGTTAAGACCATCAAGTATTTATGTCTCTGAGGTAAGCACTAATGTTTTACTAAGAATAAATTTTGTTGGGCCCAGCTGTCATTGGTGGCTTCTGCCCACTGTCTGAAAAATGCTGTTCATTTCATTTCACAACCAAAACATTGAATCAAGGAAGAAACCAAGTATCTTCCTCAATTTTATGTTGTGCTATAGTTTGTAAATTGTTGTCTTTTGGTTATTTGGGGTTTTTTGTTTTGGTTTGGGTTTTTTGGTTTTGGTTTGTTGTTTTTGGGTTTTTTAATTAGAATTAGGTTTCCTCATAAATAATGACATCAATGTCTTTTACAGCCAAAATAAATACCATATGGTCAGGGAGCAAGGGACCAGGAAGAGATGAGGAAGGTGTGGCAGCAGAAGCTGATTAGGACACAAAACGAACTGAGTGGAAACAGAGGGGCCAGGTGAGAATAAACTAAGTCTTACCATTGAGGGTAGGGTCAGATTGTTAAATTCATTACTCTGTTTTTGGCAGTGGTACTGATATTCCAAGTAAAGTGAAAAATCCGTGGTGTACATAGCTTGTGTGCAGTGTTATCTACCAAGCAGAGACCATTTCTGTTCTGCAGATGCTTGTTGTATTTTTTAAGGAAAAAAGGTGGCAGGGTAAATTAGTTGAGATGCTCAGAAGAAAAGGCAGCAGGCATAGATTTTGTCATCTCTTACTTAGTCATGCAAAGCTGGGATGAAGAAGCTTTGTTCCTGAAGGTGAAGATGATGGCAAGAACTTCAGTGTAGGTGTTGCGTGTTAATTGCTGTCTTTCCCTTTCTTCTAGCTGATGACTAGGAATCCACTAATGTTAAGCTTTGAAGCATGTGTCAGGATTTTGGGAGTAACCTTGGGGTACTGCATGTAGCACAGGCTGTATGAGCCCAAGTTACGCCTTTGTGAGAACTCCCTGTGGGACTCTGAGCTGTTACTGCAGAGCACAGTGCAACAGGTAGCATTGTGAAGGATGACGGACCAGCATGTGAGGTTTGTTGGCATCTGGAGGACAACTTCACTTGAATGGCTCTTTCATATTAATACTTGGTGACTCCAGGTAAATCTCACCAGATGTTTAATGACATGTCTCCTTGAATAGACGTCTTTTGTTCTGCTGCTGTTTATCTAATACATGTATGAGGATGACACCCCTTCAGCAAGCACTTGTTAGTCAACTCAAGAGCTCCTGTTCCACACTCTTCAAAGCTGTCTTAGCTGCACTGAGGTTGGTGAGCTCTTTGTTCACATCATGTGAGTATCTTGCTGCCCATGGATTTCTTTTGTCCACAGCTGACCCTTAAAAAAGAGTTGGGGCCTTAGAGACTATATATGGAACATGCATGTTTGTTTGATTTCTGCCCCCACTAACCACAGGCCACCTCTACCAAGTGCATGGCGGTCAATCCTTGCAGAGGTTCTGATGCAGGCTCAGACTGCAACCTTGCAATGCTCACATACAACAGCACATTAACTATGGATGTCAAGGAGCTTTTCTGTGTATTATCTCAGAAACACCTTCCATCCTGTGGATGGATTTATTCCTAATAAAATGACATGTATAAATAAGAAGGCAGCATGTGGTGGGTCTGTCTGGAGTGCAATCTCAAGGCTGTGATCACAT